GGAACATCAGGAAATAAAGCGTGAACTGCATGAGGAAAAAAGTTATTTCAGAGGAGAAAAAAAAAAAAAAAAGCAAAACTAACCAACCAAAAACCCAAACCAAAAACTTCCAGAAAGTTTACATTAAAATTGACAGTTTCTAACCTGAATCACAATATGTCTTTCCCATGACTGACAGACACAGTATCAAACACTGTGCAGGGATCCTGTACTATCTTCCAGGGTAGTACAGTCTTGTTCAAGTGCAGGATGGTCCAGAACTGACCCAGAGCCGCACCGTGCCCCAAAGGTGCCAGAGCGGGGCCCTCTGCACCCCTGCTGTGGCGGCTGGCACTGCACTGGGCTCTGCTCCTCCAGCCTCCCACGCACTGTGCTACTCAGCCTGTCCCTGACCGATCCCCATTGTGATGGCACTGGCATACCACAAAGGAACAACAGCCACCTCCCACAGCGGCATGTTGAGCATCTAGCCTGGAATATGCTGGTTCAACGGAGGTCTTCAGTTTCCATTGGATTATTATTGAAAACTGCTTTAAATGTTAGAAATTAAACATTTCCTCACCCAGCTGCCCACCTGCTCACCCTTATCCCCACACCTGTGATGAAGGAGGGCTAGAATCAGGGGCCCTTTTCACTGTGCAAGGAACCGAGCCTACAACAGACGCAGAGGACATGTACTGTCACGGAAAAACCGGGACGCAATTTTAGTCAGGCCAGAACAGAAGCAGTTTATTACTACAGCTATGAGGGAGAGCACAGCGCAGCAGTGACAGACGCTGCTGAGATGAACTCTGCCCAAATGGGGCAGTGACAGAGTTTATATACCTTTAGGTCATGCGACTTATTCTTCACCAAACTGTGTCAGACAAGTAGGATATTGTAAATAGCAACAGCATTCCTCAGATAAGGAGGCTCTAGCCAGCACACCCTTTAATAATTCACTCCTTTGTTAATTAAATTGGTGAGACCATTACCTGCAAATATTTCTTAACAAGTGAGTCCTGCAAAGGCCTATGAGGCATTAACTCTTTTACTGCCAGGCTGGTCTCAAACCACCCAAGAGCAGAGAGAACAGGCTCAGCCAAATACTGGATGGGGGAACCTCTCTTTAGCGCTCAACGGCAAAGCACGCTGGAGCCCTTAGGCCACAGACAAGCTGTGGGAATGCTCTTCCTGCCCCACTCGCGTGTGTATGCTTATTTATACTGTCAGAGCAGTTAACAGGAAAAATGGAGCTCTCTTAAAAATACTCCACTGCCTGTATCAAGCAGCACTTATTCTGATTCATTTGCTAGATTGAAAGGATTTCCCTATTAGAACATTGCTCTGATGGGCTGCCTGGATGAGAACCAAGATAGCTATTAACATACACATTGTTAAGTGAAGCCTTTTAGTATTTTTCTCTTGCTCCAAGACAGATTTTCCAGAATAATTTTTGTCAGAAAATAATCTAATTTTTACACTTCCTTTTTCAAGGTTTATCTCCCAACAGCATTCTTGGCACACAGAGGGAAACCAAGCAAGTAATCTCCAACCTTATCAAGATCATCCTACATTTTCATTGAGCCAGCACACACTTCCCTCATTTAATGGAACAGCTCACTACAGCCAAGCTTGTGTCTGTGTGCAGGAAAAGTCAACAGTATTCACTGTGATGGTCAAATGTTCCCAGGCCCCAGCCCTGAAATCTGCCCAGACAGACCCGATTCATTGTTCTCTACTCCATGCTGCAAACACAGTTCATCCTGCAAGTGGAAACCCTTCTTGGGAACAAAAGCAAGTTTGGCCTTCACAGTGCTCTTTTCCTTGACCCCTGGGTAGGATGAGATCACCCATGAGATCATCACAGCAACTTAAAAAGGTGGCATAGCTCATGTTCCTTCTGTCCTGACTGGAATAGAGTTGGTGCTTCTTTTCTGTGAATTGCCCTGTTGGGAACAGGAATGGACACACTTCTGCAAACTTGCCATGTGGGACAGCCTAGGTAGAAAAGACATCTTGTATTGCACTCACATGCTCTTAAATCATCCCACCTTTCCCATCTGGAAGTGGATGGGAACCAAAGTCCTCTTGGGCACAGGCCAAAACATTCCCTCAGACACTGGCAGTTTGCTCCTTGGTATTTCTTGCATGTAGACATGCCAAGCTGAGCCGAATTAAGCTAATAACACATAAAAGGCTGAAGCAGAGAGAGGCAAGTTTGGAAGGAAGCAGCTTCGACAATGCTGGTTTCACTGCAGAAGCTTCACATAATTTGCTGGAAAGAGGCCTACTTTGCCCCGGCACTGCCCGCGCCACCAGCCTTCATCTACCATCTCGATGTGTGTGATTGTGTCGTCAGGGTCAAAGGAAATCTCATCATCTCCATCTGCAGAAATTGTTCAGAAAACACAGTCACAATGCAAAGATAACCCCAGAGAGCAGGTTTTACATCCTTCCTCCCACCACCCCCCGGAGGAGAATACAGAACGAGCATTCTGATAACCCTCAGAGTTCATCTCATCCATCCCCCAACAAACAGCACAGATAAAGCAGAGAAGGGGCAAGACTTCACAGAAGAAAGATGAAGCTTCTGTGTTCCTAAGTCAGGTCTCACTCTGCTTTCCAAGAGGGAGAAATTTAAATCACCAAGTAAAAATCTTTCCACCACTGCTGATGGGTGTAAGCCACCACCTCCCTGTTGCAGCGTCCCAGCCAGCTCAGTGCCTTTCCCCACAGCCTGGATGATAGACCCACCTCCTTGGTAATCGTAGAGAGCCACCGCACAGGTCCCAGGGCTCTCCACCTCATAAACATTGTCCATTTTCCCTGCAGAGGACAGGACGGGCAGATGAGAAAGAAGCTGAAAGCAGCCATATAGATCTGGTCAGTGTCACCCTGCACCCAGCTATCAGCCTTGTGGTGAACCACATCCAAATTCTATCAACAGGGAGAGGTGTACCATGGCCTAAAGCAAGGTATGACTTCTCTCTTCTTCTGCAAGGAGAGAGGCTGGGTCTTGATGCTTCATGTTCCTCTCCCAAGACAAAGGCTGGACATAACTTCAGCCTCTCCACTTACCATCTCCAGTACCAGCGAAGCTGCAACAGAAACATCAACAGCAGCCCATGCAGTTTGCTTATGTGCTTGGAGGAAGACTACCCTGCACTCCTCATACCCAGGAGACACCGCCAGATCAGGTCTCATGAGCATCAGCCATTTCAGCAACAGGCTGAATTAAGAGGGCATCCCCAGGCCTCAGTGAAGCACTGGCAGTCACTTGCCAGCAAACAGTGCACCGAGAGCATCAGTCCAGGCCCAGCTTCTTCAGAGCCCACAGCAGCACTCTGATCCAGCCGAGTCCTGCTCCAGCAGAGATACTTGCTGCCTGGCCCAGCACCCCATGCAGCTGATCTCGCACCTTGGAGCTGGCCAAGGCAGTGGGAGATGACCAAGTCTCCATTGTCATGGGCTGCCACCCTGACCACAGTAGATTTCAGGATACAAATTCCTGAATGGTCTGTCCCATACTGTCAGTGAGGTGAGCAGATAGATACAAGCTCCCCAAGACACGGGCTCTTCCATCAGTACTTACCCAGGTGGGGCTGGCTCTGGCTGGGTTCCTCAGGAAGGATCTCCTCATAATCCTCACTTCCATCTCCTTCATAGTCATCCAGCTTTCCCGAGGGCGCTGGCAGCTCCTCATAGTCAGCACCGCCACTGGTACTGTTACAGTAGTCAGAGGGCTCTGGCAGCTCCTCATAGTCTCCACCGACATCCAAACTTTCACTGTAGATGGGCTGATCCTGGCTGGGCAGCTTGCACAGCTCTCCACCCAGATCTGCTGGCCTTGGTGGCAAAGTGGGTGGTGTTTCCTCATCCTCCCTTTTTGCCTCCTGCCATGAAGTGAGAAGTGACTGGGAAGTCACCTGCAAAGCATCCACTGTAGGCAGCTCTCCCGTGACTGCACAGCACCCAACACAAGGGACCCCGCTCCACTGGAGGTGCCTTTAGCGCTACCATGACACAAATGGAGCATCATCCTCTGCACAACGGGGAAACAGCTCAGCCATTAGGTCTGTGCTGAACTGGCACCTGGGATTGCTGTGAAGACCCTCATGGCTCATGTATTTCAACCTCTCTGACATATTCAGCTACAGCTCACTGTACTGCCGCTGTACTGATCTACTCCAAGAGCCCCTCTCATGGTATAAGGTGCTGTGCAGCCATGTCCCATCACCATCCCAACGTTTCCCCCCCTCACCCCTTCCAAAGCTTCTCCCACGCTGCGGCTGCACCCTACTTCTTCCTGCGGGCTGCCCATAAAGCAGGGCCCCCTCTCAGATGCAATCCGCTCTGCCTGCCCCCCCTCCTGCCTCTCCCCAGCCCGCCTTGGCACCTCTTTTCCCGGTGACACAGGCCTCCCTCGGTCAGCACTCGCAGGCACCCTTGCTGGCACGGCGGCAGAGGCTGTCTCTGTGTGGTCCTTCTCTCTCTGTGGGATTTCCTGCTGGAGAAAACTCATCAGATCCCCTCAATCCCGTTGAACTAGGTCCAGAGCAATGTCTGTTCCCATTCCCAACAGAGCAACTCTCAGTCTTCCTCCAGATGAAATCTGTTCCAGCTCCCATAAACCTGCCCGAGGGACTGGACACTAACAGGTCTGTAACGACTACGGGGTCTGCAGAAAGTAGCCTCAAGGAGGGGAACGTTCTCAGGGAGTGCTTTATTGGTGAAACCTTATCTGCACATTGAATGCAGAAACAGCACAATGTAGAAGGAGGTCTTGCAAATGTGAGGGTTTGGGTGCAATCTCCAGTTTGGAAAACCCTGAATACAGACTGCTGGGATGGCGATACTGGGGAGGTGTGATTGCACTGTGTTTGCCAGGCACTAGAGGCAAGAAGCAGCCTAGGCCAAAGCACAGGGGGTCATGGCTGGGTGCAGGCACATCCTCATCTGTGTGCCAAAAGGGAAAATCCAGTGACAATTGTGAAGTTCAATGGCAGTCCCTGGCAGATGCAGGGAAGCAGTTTAGGCAAGAGGTTACTGTAAAGAGATCAGATAGAAGGACATGGAGCTGCACAGCCCTGAGGAAAAGTCTGCTTCGCAAGCCTTGGAGGACATGGCAAGATGGCCATGGCTCACCTTCTGCCGAGCCACCTGGCACTGCCGAGCCTGCCGCCTCACCCGGTCCTCCTCTGCCTGCCGTCTGCTCTCCTCCTCTGCTGTCTTAGCCATGTTTTCAAATCGTGACCGCAGGCTGCTGGTGCCACTGGAAGCTCCTGTGGAGAAGAAAGCTGATCAAGTCTGCCTCATGGCTCCCTTCCACCACCCCAGGCATCCAGGAGAAACCCAGACTTCTGCCTCTTCCAGAGAAACTTGCAGTTCAGCCACCTTCTCCTGCCTCTCAACGTTGGTTAAATCCACATCCCACCACAGCAAGTGCCTGCCAGTGTGCAGCCACAGAGGGACCATGAGGCCCACAGCTTCCCACCAAGCCCAGGGCTGGTACTCGGTTGGCTCACCTGCCTCCAGTGGTCTTGTTTTCTCGTACGAGGAGGTGGGAGCTGCCATCTCGTTAAAGCCAGCAGCACTCTGCAAGAGGAAGTGAATTAAGTGTCCAGCTTGTTAGGTACGGCCAGTGCTGAGATGCCCTGCTGGGTTTGGCTACTGGTGACTGCAAGCTTTGCTCCCAGCTGTGTCTGTCCTCATCCGTACAACTGCCACAGCCCTGTGGAGGCTGCTGGCTGCAGCCCTGCTCTCCTGATGCCCCCCTGCGCTGTGCGAGTGCCTGCTGCCCTCCAGCCAAAGGCAAGGGACGTTCCTGTTCGGGGAGTGGCACTCTGAGGGCTGAAAAGGCTACCTGGAGCCAGGCAGAGGAGGTTGTACAGTGGCAAGGTGACTGCTGCATAGGACACCAAGGCTGGGCATTGAAGGCAGAAGCGCTCACTGGTAACACGGCAAAGAGCTGAGGGGAGGCCTGGCAGCCCACCACCTCCTGAGGGCCAGGGACCCGATGCACCCCGACGCGTCCCCTGCACTCCCAGTCATATCAGGCGTGGAAGCCCTTCCCTATTGCATGCACACCTGCAGCTGCCTAACCATGAAAAACAGGCGTCCCTTCAGCAGGTCGTTGCCGCCACTATGCGTATACAGTAGTATAGGCTGGAAAATACCAAACTGAAAATGTGTGTGAATATCTGAAATATCACTGGCTTTATAAGGTGTGAAGAGATGGCTGAACTGGTAATAGCATTGATGGGGCGTTTGCAGCAAAAAGAAAGTGAGACAGAGGGAGTTTGTCCCCTTTCATGAGAAAACTATTTCATACAAAAAGGGAACTGCTGGCAGGATCCAGCTTTCAGACTCCTATTGCTCCATTTAGCGTTCCACCTCCGGTGTCAGCAATGGGCTGGATGGCAGAGCTCCTACCACAGTCAGCGGAGCCCAGACAGCAGCTCTGCTCTCCTTAAAGAAAACACACCTGAGCAGCCAAACGGCACCGCAGGCTCAGAACCAGGTCTACACAGACCACAGCAGAGACTTGGACACGTTGTTTATATGACAGCATTTAAATTTAGGAGTCTTAGTGTGAGAGCTGAATCCTACACTTAGTGTTCAAAACTTTATCAAAGGGGAGTTAAGATTGCCTGGCGGTATATTATACCCTACTTTGGAGCAATGAGTTCAGCACTTCTCCAGTGCCTGTAAACCAGGCAATCAAGAACTTAGGTACTTGCCCAAATATCTTTATTTTTACCATCTTTGATTATGCTTCAGTATTCTTAAAATGCATAAACAACTGTTCCACTTTGAGCTGATCAAGAACTGCTTATCCCCGCTCTGCATCCTGCTTTTCAAATGACCCATTGTCCTGACTTTTGCACAAGTGCTCATCTGATTTTGCATGCTTTTTTCTGCCACATACATGATGCCTTGCCTTTTGACAATGCACCTCCATTTGCTGTTGTTAAATTCATAGACGATGCTAATCTCTTCCATGGGCAGGATGCCATTCCCACTCTGCTACTGGTCCAGCCCATACAAGCAGCATGGAAAGGAACATGTTCGGTTGTTACAGGTATGTGTTTATGTCCTTCCTTGGCTTGGGGCCCTGCAGAAAGGTCCTCATCTGCCTCCTCCAGGTCCTCAGTATGGTACTGTACCAAGCACAACACTATGCCATGAGCACTGTGCCCAACAACAGAAAAAGTATCCTTCAGGGGAGGTACCCTCGGTTCCTCCTCTAAATCCCCCAAAGCCCCACCAGCATCCAGGATTCTCATCTTTCAGGTTATCCCCATCCATGCAGTTCATCATTCACTGACAAGACTCCCTTTCCTGAACAAATTTGCAGTGTAGCTTGCCAAAGCACAAGTGCCTGAGACAGTCTGCATTTGGACTGCAGATGGGCTTTGCCTGGTTTCAGCCCAGACAGAAACCTTGAACCAGCAAACTGGACGACCTCTTCTCATGCAAGGTTGATCCCTGCCAATCCCATCCCTATTGGGTTCTGTTAAGGTTTGCAGGCAGATGACCAGGCCCTGGTCTGAGATTTAGCTAACTGAACAGACCGTAAGACACTCCCGGACAGGACCGAAAAACCTGCCAAAGGCAACAAACAACAGAGAAGCGGATGAGTTACAGACAGCACCATGAGGAATGGCCAGATCTCACCAGTAGCTAAGGGGGAGTGATATGGGGCCAGTCACTCATACACAAAGCCATACCAGGTGGTGAGTAGTACAAGAGGACAAGGAGCCAGACCAGAGAGGCCATAGATCTGCATAAGATACTGGAGAGCCTGGGCAGGTCGGCAAGTTGGCTACTCACGAGACCAAAGATTCAAGCCAGCTTCTGGGAAGCCTTGTTTATGTGTAGGTGTGACAGCTACTAACAGACCTTCTGCCTTGAGTAAGAACAGCTAGAGGACTGGTAGCCACAGCAATACCACCTTCTCGCTGGAGGGAGGCCAAGGCAAGGACCACTCTCTATGCATACTGCTCTCTGCACGAGCATCACCTCCCAGTCAGTGCTGGGGACATGACACCAGACGGCCCTTCACTCTGATCCAGCACCTCTCCTGTGTAAGACAGCTCCTGCACCGTGCAATAGCCTGTGGCCTCTCAGACTTCTCACAAGGCTGTGCGCTCACAAAATTTCATCTCCAAGGAGCCATCACTGCTCATCCTGACTGTACTGGTACACACAGGGCCTGTGGAGTGACGGCAAGCAGCCAGACAGAACACTCCCAGTATCTCAAATGGTACTGGATATCCAGGAGGGCACAGTCTGATGCCCTTAGAAAGCTCTTCACTGGCTCTGCTATTAAATCCTGCCCCAAGAGAAAGGAGGCGTATGACTGTTCAGGCCAAGACTGGAATGATTCGAAAGCAGCCGAGAATGGAAAAAACTTTTTCTTCCTTGCATTATGGTCTCTCAAGGATGCATTACCCTGCACCCTCTGCTGTTTCACACTGGGCCAGCTCCCTCACCCTTGCAATAGCTGTGCACTGAGCGGTGGGACCTCATCTCCACCGGGGAAGGCTCTTCTCTCACAGCAGTGCAGAGAGAAGTGATTAGCAGGAAGCAATTGCAGGCTGCAGCATGCAGTCTTACCTTATCTACTCTGTCCTTCTGGACCCCGTAACGGCCTCCAAACCCCTTGGCATAGTCTGTATAGAAAAAAAATGAGGCTATTTTATAACATTTTATATTCTGTATACACCTCTGCCTTCAGTATGCTGCGACCAGGGAAATGAGCTAGCTTTGTCTGCAACTTATCGCATGGAACTAAATAGAGAGACTACATACAAAATGCTCTGACAGTAGCTTTTAAGACTAATCCTTCATTCCTTTCAGCAAAGAGCACAGGTGTTCAGTGCTGTACGCTGGCAAATCTGCTTCCAAGGCACTGGGGTGAGAAGCCAGTCCTGCCATCTGAGCACAATGTGGCCTTGTTCACTGAAGTTAAACATACAGTAGTCAAGCCATTGCTGGAACCTGCTTTGCCTCATTCCCATGTGCTCACCTTTTGAATGAGCTTATGATCAGGAATGTACCTCCCAGAGAAAGCACAGTATAGTCTGGGAAGCCTGATTTAGGGACTTGCATTCAATGTCCCTCACTGATCCAAGCACGCACCTACTCTGGCAGAGCTCACCCGTGTGCTTTGGCGGTTCACAGTCCCAGCCGCTCCCCAACATGCTGTACACATTCAGCTCTCAGCAGCTGGGTCTCTGTCAAGTATGAACCACTAGCTCTAGGTCTGCGTGTGCTCCGAGGAAATCATGCTGCCACCTCTGGCAACATTGCCCTACCTGTTTGGGATGCATGGGGTTGCACTTCCTCCTGATGGTCCCAGCCAAGGGCACTCTTGTCCTGACGATCCCTCTGGACCCCGAACTTCCCACCAAAGCCCACAGAATAGTCTTCAGCCACAGGGACCCAGATCATGGCATGGAAGAGAACAGACCAGGGAGGGACAGAGAAAA